CCACCCCCCGGCCCCCCCCCCCCCCGAGTGTGTGGCTTCCCTGGGATTCCCAGCATCTGTGAACCTCAAGAGCTCTGAACACAGAGATCAGAAAACAAATTTGCTGCTGGTTTGTTTTACAAATCGTTGCTTTTTCGTTGGAGGTATGGTTTCATTTATTTACTAGAGTCTTGATGCCTGATACTCACCTGGCCTAGAAGGTAACAGCGCTGTATCTCACTTGTACTCTTGTTAGGGAGAGTCACTCTGTGCAGTGTCAGAAGGACGTTTGTTTGCATTCCTGATGCTAATCGACTCCTGCTTTTCTTTTTCTTTTTTTTGTCTCTCCTTTGATGAAAACTCTGGGAATGAATAACACAGCTTGAGTTAAACCTACTGTGTCAGTCACCTTCCCGATCCCTGGGACAAATTGCCTGACATAAACAGCTTAAGGAAGGAAAAGTTTGTTTTTGGCCCATGGTTGCAGAGGCTTCAGTCCACGGATTGGTCGGTTCCACCATCGCAGGCCTTTGGTGAAGCAGGACATCCTGGTGGTCAGCGTGGTAGGAGAAAGCTGCTCAAGTTATGGCAGCCTGGAAGCAGAAAGAGGGAAAGAGAACCAGATGAAAGGAGCTAGGGACCAGATATAGTTCCCAAGGCCATGCCGTATGACCTACCAGTAATGCTGTTAAACTGTGATTTCATCAGTGACTGAATCCAGTGACTGGGAAGTTCAGAATTAGAACTGCTGAACTTGTGAGGCTACATGTGTCTTCAGAAATGGTGCATTTTTCCTTATAGTTTGAGCTGTAAGAACCATGAGATGGGGTGGACAGAAAGATGAGAGTGAGTTCAAGGTGACATTTCTGGGAAAGGTAAAAGCTGCCCTCCTCCGGCGGGTTTGCAGGGGACAAGACAGTAGGCAAGGGTTCTAGGCAGGATACATTACTCTGCATAGCAATGTCCTTAGGAAAAGTAGGTTCAAATGACTAGTAAGTAAGTGAAGCTCTAAAGGAAAGGGACTAGGTAGTCAGGGCTAAGGGCCATATGAAACATTTCCGAAGCATATAACTAAGACTCACTTGTGCAGATGATGATATAAGTTATCTAATAAATCCCTAGTCCTTAAAATGTGAACACCAGTTTGCTCTTACATGTTCAGATGATGAGGCATAGGATTCTGAGCATTGTGACAGTTAGCAAGTGATAATCAAGAGAGGGGGCACAGATTTCCTACCTCTGTACACCCAGACACATGGCTTCATTCTGCAATCACACTGGGGTCATTTGAGTACTGAATGGAGCTGTTTTGGATGGGACTGGCTGCCACCCTTCCTGACACGCTCCAGGGCTAGTTACTTGTAGAAAATATTTGAACCTGGATTTCAGGAGATCCCGCCTGTTTATTGTTATTTATTCAGTCACTACAGAGTCTTTGGAAGTCATTGCACCTCTTTGTCTTACTTAACTCATGAGTAAAAAAGAGAAATAATCTTGACTGCACTCCTCTCAGTATCAATGTGACCATTAAACTTTGCAATGGTTTAAAGATCATTTTAAAATTGTTTTAGAGCTCTAGAAGGAAAAGAGGGACAAAGGAAGAAAAGATGGAAGAAGAAAATAGAAAAAAGAAAGGAAGGAAGGGGAAGGGAAGAAGTGAAGAAAGAAGAAAAGGAAAGAAGTAGAAAGGAAAAAATGCATTTAAATTTAATTTTGCTACCAGTTGAGATTTCTGAATTCAGTCCAAGTTGGGTGCTTTTGGGGTATACAGGTAGCATCTCTCAAAATCTGCTTCTTAAATATTTATAAAGAAGAATGTTGAGCAGTACAGTCACCAAACTTATATTCTGTCTATAAATCTAAACTCCAGTCTCTGGAAACTTAATTGCTGTATGTGTCTTAACTTCTGTTGTTGTTGCTGGTTGTTGCGCTCTTAAAACTATCAGGATTCTCTTTAAAACTGCAGAACTGTGCAATACACTATAACCCAGTCCTAAACCACAAAACCCATCACAGAGCCTGGCAGAGCAGATCAGCAGTAAGAGGACGTCTTTGAAAGACTAAGATGAACATTAAATTAATCAACCAAAGCTCTTGGGGGGTGGCCACTAATTTCAAATTTTTCATCTTTGGAAAATCAATTATTATTATGTTTATTGATGTTGTATTTGTCACTATTTTCAGCCATTTCCACTGATGGCATGATTAAAATAAAAACATTGTTATTCAAGAGATTAGATATGTTCAATTCTCTTTCTAGACTTTCCACTTCTCAACTACCTGGGGTTAGGGAAAAAAATCAACTTCTGTGAGGCAAAGACTGAGCTAGCTTTTCTTTGTTCTTTTTTATGGTGATTACCTTTGCCCTGTACAATTTTAAACACTTCGTTAAACACCAGCTATTGCTTATTATTCACTGGGCAGGATTTTGGAGATGGTGGGTATATTCTGTCTATAAATATATATATATATATATATAAAGTCAACAGCCCTCGGAACTGGTTGGAACTTGGGATTTGTTTCTTTACCCCCAAAATGTTTAGAGAACCCTCTACCCTAGTATGGGTAGTTTCCTAATGTTGCTCATACAGAAAGGGACTTCTTGCTAATATATTTATTCCCTTAAATGCCCAATGATCACAAATGAGTTAATGCCACTGTGCACACACTATTCCATACCTAGTTATCCATTCCCAGTTGAATTGCTCTTCATTTTGAAACTAGGTTTTCATTCCAGCTATAGAACTAAAACTGTTACGCATGGTGATTGTGATAACATGTTCATTCTTTCAATTGTAATTATTTTCTTCTTGACAGTGTTTGAATAGGGTGTCGTCATTAGGTTGTTAATTGCAATGAAAAGCTAAAATCACCTAAATGCCCAACAACTGGCAAGCTGCTTAACTAGATACATTCATTTATCCAAATGTTTTGTGTTTGCTTTTTTAGAAATACAACAACATAGAGATAAAAAGAAATGGCCAATCACCTGTCCAGCTGTACACTGAGCCACCAACCATGTCCTATAACTGGGGAGTCTTACAGGGTGGAAAAATTATAACCCTCTTTTCTGTAAATTGAAGAAAAAGCAAAAGTAGATCTGGCATTCCTCAGTCAGGCGTGGAAAATTTAGTTATCGAGGTGTGGGACTTGTCCAGGTGAGTCTGACAAATGATTACAAGGGCTTAGGGAAGTTGTTACCAGGCTTGTGCTGTAAGAAATGGACAAGATTTCTTACATATGTCTGAGAGTACCTGTGTATACACAAGAGGGTAGCTTATCCCATAGATACTCTCTGAACATCCAGAAGCACAAGTATTTGGGCTGACAACAAAATGTTGAACAATCACGATGTATTATACAACATGCTTCTCTGATGGTGACATAAAATCTATTAACTGTAAAAAATTTTAAGATTCATCTTAAGCAGAACTCACAGAACCTTTGTTAGATTCTAACGTGAACCGAATTTGATTTTGAAGTCAGCTATTTACCACCAATTCATGGCATTTCAAAGACACATTTTAAAAGGAAGATCAACTGTAGAAATCGTTTATTTTTGTGTGGAAATGTTTTTGTGTGAAAGTGTGTTTCAGTAATATTCTTCTATTGGATTCAGAACCTGTTTCTTAGATATTTTGATATTTCTTATATTTTTTAGGAACCAAATCATATGTTTAAGTTTCAGGCCATTAAAATATGAAGTGGCTTTAGAAACTATTTAGTAACCATTTTTTAAAAGAGGAAATTGAAGGTCATAGAAGTGGAGGCACTCATGATCCCATCTAGCAAGCCAGAATTTAGGTCTCTTGGTCTAGTACCCTTTGTAAAGCCCTGTGATATCTTTTATATGAATACAATCAGGTTATTTTATTCACTTTAGAGGCTACTCTAAGGGTCTTGATATGTAAACCTAATCAGACATATATGGCAGTTCTGGACAAGTTAGACTTGCTAGGTAGTAGACCATGCTATTTAAATTGCGTGTGTGTGTTTGTGTGTGTGTATGTCGGAGAGCATCATAAATTCACAGTAAATTATTGCATACTGACTTTAGGATGTGCCCTCTTTATTAAGAAAGACTGTATCGGTGTGGGGAATGAAAGGAACTCAGAGCTCCTCTGCAAACCTTGTTCTTGCTGGCTCTGTGGCTTTCCCCATCCTCCTTAGGAACTGTGACTTTTTCTCCCTGTCAGCTGACTGCCTGTCCCCGAGGACTGCTTAGTGTGATGTATACACTTGAGAAGTCCTCCCCAAGGGAACAACTGGGATGGGTTGGTGACGAATGAGTAG